GAGTTGAAGTCCACTCATCTTAAAGTGGCCAAGTTTGGACAACACTGTACTAGGCAATGCCTCCGCAAGTGAAAGCATCTGACCAACCTTGTCTTGGGTTTGAAGCAAAGCAGTGTCAGAATGGCTTAGTACTTGGATAGGAGACCATCAAGAATACAAGGTTCTACACTAAGATGGTGAACATGAAAAACAATTAAGAAGAAAGCAATGGAAAACTACTTCTATGCTGCTGCCAAGAAAATGGCATGATTACCAAGAGATGAATTCAACTCAAGCATATCTGCCTTTTCTCCGTGTAATACTCCATGTCGCAAAATTATAGTCAGAGCAAAAGTCAACAGAATTATAATCTTTGCATTTGTTACACTACAGTTACAATCCCATCTTTGAGTATTTTGATTTTCAATGTTAGTCTCTCAGTAAAATCAAACAAAACCTAAATAATATGTATCTGTATTATCTTCTCTCCATGAAACTTTCCTTCCATTCTTGTTCTATTTCCCTTCTGGTTTACACTTTGGATAAAACTGGGCTCTTTTGCACTTGTTGCACATTAACCAAAATGTGCCAGAACTGAGCTGTACCATCTTTACTGTTAGCTCTGCATAGGTATGATTATGGGTATGACTGGTAACTTAGCCTACACATTCTCTATCTCTACTGAAAGTATTATGGGAAAGCTTCAATTGACTGAAGTCATGATGGTGGTGAAGGTCAATATCTATGGTCACATCAGGTGGCGATCATGGCATATAAAAGACTGTGACTTGCAATGCAAAAGAAATAAATTACAAAATGTATGAATTAAAAAATGAAAGAAAAGAAAGAAAAATAAGTATGGTGCATATCTGTGAAACTAAGAGAAAGAGAAAGGAGGTAATAGATCTTCTAGAGTAAACCTGAATACAAAGGAAGCAAATGTAATGTAATATTTTGATGGAAATAAAAGTCTTCTGGAAACAGGTAAAGAGAGATAAACAAGCAGGGTTCAACATAATGAATGGAATTACAAATACATTTTTAGATTTTAAGAGGAAATGCTGGTAGAAAGTTAGTGGATAGCATACGGCCTATTGCCAGAAATCTATATTGAAATAAATGAAATTGGCTATGTGTTTTTGCCTGTTTTGTTATATGGAAGTGAGCGTGGGGTATACTGTATCAGGAGAAACACAAAACCTGAATGCAGTGGGAATGGATTACTTAAAAAGTACATAAAATAAGAACGCAGCTTGAGTACAAAGACAAGTGACAAATATAAAGGAGCTATGCTGAAGTGGTTTGGTCATACAGAGAGAATGGACAAGGACTGAATCACAAAACAAATATATGAAGGAAGATTGAATGGCTTAAAGGAAGCAAAAGGCTGAGAAAGATACAGTTGAGTGGAGCTGATGAGAGCCTGAAAAAGAGAGAAGTGAAAAGTTTAAAGAACAAAAGGCAATGTAGTAATCTGGTAGAAGCAAGGATGGGTCGCAATGATGGAAAGGTATAGAAAGGTATTGTGACTGATGTGGGCATAATCTACATTTAAGGTTTCTTTATCTTACTTATGTTTTAATTTATTTGCATTATTATTTGTTATTCTTTCTGTGTGCTTTGCTTATCTAAAAGGGAATAGTGTGATGTTGGGAGGAGGGGAAAGAAACAAATTGTGAAACTGCACGTGTTTAAAATACTACTTATTAATCAGGACTGATGACTAGTCTTTCTTTTATTCTTTTCTCCTCGTCAAACGCAGCCAAAATATAGACATGCTGGAAATGATGGAAGGGTTATAGGGAGAGAAGAAGGGAAATTTAAGTTGTGCACTTCATATTCATAGTCCAAAATCTCACATTATATAGATGTGTCTGTGTTGTACCCAATATTCTCAAACAATCAAGATCAAAAATAAAATAAGGGGGATAAATAAAACCAAATTCCCAACTTCTGAAATACATGTATCTCCTGAACAAATATGCAAATTATTTACTATAATCAATTTTTAAAAATCTGGAAATAAATAGAGTATTAAATTGCATTTAAGTAATTGTGGTTCCAGGACTGACTGACTGACTGACTGACTGACTGACTGACTGACTGACTGACTGATTGACTGACTGACTGACTTCCTTCCTTCCTTCCTTCCCTCCCTCTCTCTCTCCATGTAAAAAAGCTAATGTATAAAATATACAAAATATTGTCAAATCAAAATATTTCAAGCTCAGCATGCCTTGTTTCAAGTTTGAAACAACTTCAACCTCACTTCAAAATGGGCTGTTCTGACATGACAGTGTGTTGTGACTCTTCCAAGCATATGAGAAATGTTAAACTCCAATTCACAAGACTGAATTTTTAATAAATATTACATCCAATTTGAACTTCTGACTTAAAATTAAAACATCCAGTTTTTATCCATCCAGTCATGAAATATGATTTAGGGAACAATCCAATCACCTCTTTCCTTCCACATATTCATATACATTCTGTTTCTGAAGTGAAAACTATGTTTGCCACATTGCCCACCAGAATTGGTCATTAGTGTTTATGATAGGAAATACATCATAAATGCGCATGTTGCAGGGAGCCATGACTGAATCACAGTTCTCATAAACATGCACATATTTATAATGCAATTTTATGCATTTCTGCTCAGCATTAATATACATTAATTTCAATACGGTCATAGAACACAGGGAATTCTGAAAAATATGCAATTAAAACATTTATTTTATACAATGTAGTCCTAAATATTTGTATACAATTACTTGATCTATTTCATGACTCTTGTGCATAACAGTAGACTCTGCCCCCCTCCTTTTTTTCAACATGGGAATTTAAACACAGACAGCTGCTTTGGACATACTGGATTCAACCCAGGGTGTTGTGTTTGAGTTCCACTAAAATGAGTAGGTCTTAAGCTAATAATGACTAACTTATTCCACTGATGTGGGGCACAGAATTCCACTCATTCGCCATATCACAATGGCAGCTCCCTTTGCAGTGAAAACAAAAGCAAGCGCATAGACAAATATTTCTTTGTTATGAAGGGGCTTACTCATTGGCTTTTATCCTTGCCAAATGTTCGCTGCAAGGAAGGCCTCTGAATGGATATGCAAGCAGGTGTTGCACATGTACACAAAGATGTCTTTAGAGACTGAAGGTAAACATAATTCAATGACACATTAAATCCAGAGGTAGATTCTGCCTGTACAGGTGATTTCCAATTTCTACAATAGAAATACAAAGTGCAGACTCACATAAAGCAATTATAGTTAGTTGGCATGATTACATTAGTTTGTGTGGAGTTTTAAAATGAGAGTTGAATGCTATCCTTATGATGCTTTTATTAGTTATGAGCCAATCAAGATAACTATGTTGGGGGGTAGATTTAAAGAGGAAAAGTAGGAATGGCAGGTTAACTCATAATGGAACTTATACTGGCAGTAGCCTGGCTCTGTCAAAATCGGCAAATCCAGGCTTTTCTGTAATGTTACTTGCAGGAAAACTCTAAGTGAAGTGAGCTATCAAATGAACATTGTAAGGGTGTAGTCAAAAAAGTCAAGAGCGTGGCCACGAGAGTGCAGCTGATGCTCTGCCATTTTTACGTGTATCGCTCCCCCACCCCTGCAGAGGAAAATAGCTAGGCTATAAACTTCAACAGAAAATCATCTAAGCACAATACTGGAGCTATTGCAAACCCAGCTATATCCAGAGCAACTGTCCTGTTGTTAGTAGTTCAGATTACTAACAACCTGAGACAGGCCCATAGCCTAGTTTGGTACTTTATGGAGTAAGCAGGTGGCCACAGGTCAACCGCTCTCAATCCACTTACTCCATCACATTCAACGTAACATCGTGCTTCCTACAGCTCAAAAGAAGAAGGAAGGAATTAATTGTTGGCCCTATGAGGAAAGGGTCTGCCCATCTCTGTTCTATTTGATGGGTTGCCCAGTCTAAATCTAAAGCAAATATAACAAAAGATAAGAAAAGAGACCTTGAAATGATGCATTAACACTTGATTCTTAGAGAGCACACGAAGTAGTACGCTGCCGGCCTAGTTATAGCCTTTCCCATCATGGTGAGATTTACTGTGTTTTCATTTAAATTATAATTGGGGCTGTGTAAAGACTACCCAATGCACTTCAAGGGTCAGATTAAGACTTCCATAAATGACCCGATCCATTCTGGGTCACTTGCAATGGAGGTGATGATGAGGAAGGGAATCTTCCCCAGTCTGAGTCAATCTCAAATTCTGGAATGGGATTTAAAAAAAAAAAAAAATGGAGCTGCTTCCTCATTATCTGGCAAGGGAACAGCTCAAATGGCTGCATTTATTTATTTTTTTTGATAGAACAGAATAAAATTAGAAAGGTAACTGGATCTGTTCTTGCTATCTTTCTGCTTTCTGGGCTGTACCAATTCCACACTGCAGATGACTGTTGCTGTACTAGAATAGTCTATCATAAAATAAAAATCCATTTACATAGAAATGAATCAACCAAGAAGAAACAGCAGCAGAATTTCAGGTTTGCTGTTCCTGAACAGCTACAACTAGCATGCAAGATTAGCCATCTCTGGATGGACAGAGCTATCAATCAAAGTAACAACAACAAAACATTGGAGCCTCAAGGTTAATTTAACAAAAACTACCGTTAGAAATGCATGATGCAATAACCATAAGCCAAACCATATGCTGAGATTTTAACTGATTTTATAAACAAAGATGAAATTAAAAAGATGAAAATTGTACTTTTTAAAATTACCATAGGGATAAACTTACCTGGATTAGAGAAAGATCCTCACTATGTAGCCTGAACAAGTAATTTCTAAAGTGAAAAAGAGGAAATAGCAGTTATCCAGACTATGCAGATTATATAGTTGAAATCCTAAGAAATAAGGATATTGACAGTCCTTTTGGTTCTGAAACTTAAGCCTTCTACAGAGTGGCAGGATCGACACAAAACAGTAATCCAATATTCCAGAGAACCCTGGTTTGTTGTTTGCAAACAATCCCATTGAGCTATACAGTTTCATCCCTCTACATGTGGCCTCAATAACTAATGCTCAGTAGCAAAAAGAAGGTTAGCATTATGGATGGTCCAACTCCTGGTTTGTGATTCTCAGTAATTAAAGCCCTAAACCAGGAGCCCCATATTTTCTCAAGTACAGAGCCTACCCTGGACTCCTTTCTTTTATTGGGTTTTTTTTGTTGTTGTTTTTTTGAGGGAGGAAAATACAACCCTCACTTTACTGGTACAGGCTGCTGCGGTTCAATACTTTTTGCAGTTTTTACATAAACTAGTGTGATACACCAATGCATTCTGAAGGAAGGAGGCAGAAATTGAAAGATTACAGGTATTTTATCGTTTGCATTAATATAACAAGGACATACCCAAAGCCAATTGCAGCACATCAATGTGGGAGAAATAAGTAGTCATGCTGTTATTTCAGGTTGTTTTTTCTAAGAATCCAACAACCTGTAGATCACCACAGCTTTGTAGGAATGCAGATTGAAAAATAAATTCCCTGATGGTTCACTCCATTCCCCACCCCCACTTTTTCTCTTTTCCTACAATTTTCCATAACCATATTAGTTCCAAGCCTGGCTTTCTAGAAAATACATACCAATTATTTTAGAAATTAACTCACTGTAGGTCCTAATCCTGCAATGTAAAGAGATTGTGTTTTTTTGCTTTTCCATTTATTTTGTTCCTCTCCTTTCCTAAGCCATCATTTTCCTTCAAACCACTCCAACAAGACTACAGAAACCTTTCCTGGTCAATGACCAACTGACTGGCTGACTACAGAAGCCCACACACGCTTAGTACAGCAGACATAGCATAACAGTGGGCAACCTGTGGACCATGAGCTGCACTCAGTCCCCCACTCTCCAAGATCTTGAGCAGAAAATTCAGCAACAAAATGGCTGAATTTTGGCAGTGGGGGGTATGGGGTTTTTTTTTTGCTTTTATTACTCAGTTTTGGGGTAGTGGAAGGGAAGAGAACTTCAGCCAATTCATCTGCATTTTCATTGCAAATGGGATTGAAATGAAGGCATCTATATACATTCTCATTGTACTACTCATATTATGGCACTGAAAGGCCCTGGTTCAAATTTGCCCTCTGCTCCGAAATTCATTTACAACATGAAGTGAAGAATGTTTACTTTCAATCCCTGATCCACCCTTTGTTCAATAATTTATTTAGATATTGCAGCCACAGGACAGGAGGCAATTCTGAACACAAGTCAAAGGAGAAGAGAGTGGGAAGGAAGAAATGTGCAAATATTTTTCAACTCTGAAACTTCTGCTAATAACACCGTTAGACTGGAACACATAGAACTTGGTTGCACATGGAAATGGCAGCCACTGAAAGGCAGCCTGGTGTGAAAAAATGACCCAAATAAGCAGGCTCTTTTCTTCCTTCCTGAGATCTAGAGTTTCAATGCTGCTGGGGTCCAGGACAATACAAGGAATGGCAAGCCTTGGAGCAACTGCCTAATGACAAGACCCACAGGGAAGAACCCACCCAACATCTGCAAAACAGCACCTGGAGCACCCACTCTGAGTGCCACAGCACAGGTGCAGAGTTCTACAAACCAGCTCCAGGAAGAGAAGACTGGGAGGGTTGGGGGGGAGGGAGGAGAGATGAAAGAGGAAAAGCTCAGATGCTGCAAGAGAGGGAGTGAAAAAGGTTTCCAAATATAACTGGACTGGGTTTGGTAGCAAGAGCTAAAGACACGAGGAAGTAAGAAAGACCAGAGCTTAAAAAATAGTCAGTACTGGAAAAAGATAAGAGCTAAGAACAATAGGGATATGAGAACATTGACACAGAATGTAGGGATGAAATGATATGGATGAAATAAGATAGCAGTTGTACAAAATTTATAGTGACAGGAAAACCCTAAATTAAGATGGACGGTAAGAAAAAAAGTAGGGAAGAGACACAAGCATAGAGTTAGCATTAAGACTGCAAGCAAGAAGTAGGTAAATTGAAAACCCTTTGCTTTTGCATAATAAAATAACCCCTGGTGGGGCAAAAACAAATCTGTCTTTGTGTCTGCGGTCTCTATCAGCTTGAGAAAACCCTAATATCTGAGAGAAGTAGAATCACGAGTATGGTTTGGGAAGTGCCTTCTTCTAGAAGTTCTGAGTCCAGTGGCAAGAAAAGACAAACAGAAATAATTAAGCAACCAGCAGAAGAATGCCTTTTCATGAAAAATGAGCGGGATCTTCTGGCATTCTGTGGTATTATTTTCTACAAAGTCAGATTTTAATTTGAGCTTGTCCTTTGAATGTACAGTCCTATAGAACTATACCTATATAGGATTATACTTTTTACCCATTAACATACATAGAACACCGATGTGTGAAAAAGTCAAACATTAGGGAAAGATCTAATATTTTAATTAAAAATCTCTACATTCAGCAATTTTCAGTGACAATTATGTTTTTATTGGTAGATTTACTTTACTCACATTTATGCCTTAAGTGATGAGGCAGATGAGTAAATATTATTTTACTCATTTCCTATCTCTAGAGCAGTGTTTCTTAGCCTTGGCCACTTGAAGATGTTCATGTTGGCTGGGGAACTCTGGGAGTTGAAGTCCACGCATCTTCAAGTGGCCAAGGTTGAGAAACACTGCTCTAGACTGACATAAAGAGCAATGATACAGAGGAAGACCCACAATTAAACAGAAATGCATTTAATGTGCTCAAGTGCATTTAAGTCTTCAACCTTTCCAGTTATACAAACTCAGATGGCTAGAAAGCTGCCTTATACCAAGTGAAATTATTGGCCTTTCCGTCCTTGCTATGTCTTACTATGATTGGCAACAGGGGTATTTCCCATTATCAGCCATCTGCTCTCTTAACTGTAGCAAATAGCAAGCCTCAACCTGACTCTTTTTGTATGCAGAGCATAGGTTTCACCACGCAGCTATGATTCTTTTTCAGGAACTAATGTGATGTAAGCCCTTTTTGCCAATCAGAGTAAACAAAGAACTTGGCTAAAAGGATCTACATCTCAATTCAATGTAAAGTTGCACGACAATGTTTATACAATCATGTGTGGGCCCTAGATGGTAACACAACTACTGTATTGTTAGAGGATTTAAAATTCATTTAATACTTTCTCTTTCTTTTACTGGGTACAAACAACAACACAGCACAACAAGCATGCAAAAATCATTGCACATGCAGCATTTAGCTTGGTTCAAAGTTATCTTAGTTGATGAGTTAAGTATTTTCTTATTTGGGCATTTAAAATTTTTCTTAGGTAGGCAGGAATGAGAAAATCATAAAGTTCAAAGGTGTCTTAGGGATCACCTTGTCCAATCCCCTGCTCAGTGTAGAATCCATTGATTAAAGCATGTCTGATAGGTGACCATCCAGCCTCTGTTCAAAGACTTGGAGTTCTGAAGGGACTGTTGGGGCTGCATATGGCCTGCATATTTTCTACCCCTGCTTAGATATTTCTAAATGGAAGAGAGAAGAATGGTAACATTTTTTTTTGGAAATATATTTCTACTGATTTGATTAAAAAAAAAAATCCATCCCTAAGCACCAATGAGCTTTTCAAGATGTCAAAATGGGTTTGGAACAGAGAATACGGAATTAGCCTTTTTCTTTCTTTCTTTCTTTCTTTCTTTCTTTCTTTCTTTCTTTCTTTCTTTCTTTCTTTCTTTCTTTCTTTCTTTCTTTCTTTCCCCTTCTAAGACATTTTTCCCCTGCCTAAGTTAGCAAGTTAAGAGCCAGAAGAACACCCTTTTGAAGAGGTTGATTTGGCCTATGGAACATCAAGTGCTCATGCCTAAATTGTATAGAACAAAGACTGCTTATAACATAGCAAACAGGAAGATTTCATTTCAGTTTGAAAATCTTACTTAGATTTTCTTCTTCTTCCAGTAGTTTGCACCTGAGAAAATATTAGAAAGGGAGGGAAGAAAAGCTTTCTCTTGACTGCTCAGTCTCAAAAATGTCTTCCAAATCTTCACCTTTTTCTTTCCCTCAAACCACCCTTGACTTATGAAATCCAGCTGAAGGCCACTTTCATGTCCAATATAACTTGGAATAAACCTCTTATTTCTGTTTCAAACATACTCTTTCTCCAAGGACAATAAATCTGCCATGTGTTAAAACTAGAACATGAATTCTCATGCTGGACATTCATCATTCAGCTGCACTTCTGATCTCACACTTTCAAGAGGCTCATAATCCTGAATTCAGCAGAAAGCCCAACAATGCTCTTCTTTCTATGGTTACATACGAAAGGGGCTAAGTAAACAATTTAAATTTTCAGCAGAATTGTTCTTGAAACTTGCCACTATTTAAGGAAGTGAGAAAATATGTAGCAGTATTGTTACAGGCATCGAAACATTACCATTTACATTGCAAGTGTGTTTGATTTTATACTGTAAGCATTTAGCTTTAATATTTATTTCAAAAGAATCATTTTCATAGCATGTTATTTCGTACAGTTTTGATTTGTGAACAGGTCACAAGCCAGGGTAGTAATGCTAAAGCTAGATTGGGCTAAAGCCAAAGACAGACAGAGAGGGAATAGAAGAGTGAGCCAAGTAGGATTAAAAGAGGATTGGGGTAGGCAGGTTCACTGCCCGTTCAAGAAGCTTTAAAGAGGAGATATCCAGCAGCCTGCAAGAATCTGCTGCTTCTGGCCTCCTTTTACAGGGGTTGCCGGGAGACAGCCATCAAAGAAAGCAGAGATATAGATGTTTTTGTCATTAAAAAGTCAAAACGTACAGTATTCCTTATATTAATAGCAAAATGATCTCTGTTCATCCCCCAATTTCTCACGGGGGTCTTTGGGCTGATCTACTGGGATAAAGTTAGACATTTTTATGAATATACTGATTACACAGACTGATTTTTTTCCCTTATATGTTAAAATTAATTCTTTCTTAGTATATTTTAAAAGTGAGGTTGCATTTGAAAATAGGAATAGACTGAAGAGCAATTCTTTCTACTGCCTTCCTTCATAACTGCAATGTCTCTCTAGTGATGTAAAATTTTCATTAGACCTAAATTTTTAACATATGCAAGTAAGAACTTTGGTCTGTCTGTGCTACTGTTGATGATACCACAAGCTCTATTTAAGTTGTAACGTTTCAGGGGGAAAACTCTTGTTGGATTTTTGCACCAAAAAAAAAAAAAATCAAGCAACCAACAAAACAAACCATCAATCACCTCGAAGCCAAAGCCACTTCCTGAAAGCACTATTATTAAAATTTGGTTTGACCTGAAAACCTCTAGGACAACAGGTAGCATTTGGAGACAGCTGAAACCAAAGCCAGGATAATAAAAGAGGGAAACTAGCATGCTGACATCTGCATCAACTGAATCATAAATTAAGATATTGCTGTGCAGATTTAGGCAAATCTGTTACTGTTTGCAGCTTTCATTCACTGGGCTGATTGAACTTAGCAAGAACCTCGACTCAGAGCAGAATGGCAGGATTTACCCTTGCTGGAAAATACCAGTTTAAAAAGAGGGAGGGGAAACAGAGGAAGAGAGTGCACAATCCTGACAGGTTTTTCTACCATTTTAGCCAGCTTCACAATGCACATAATATGTACAAATACTAGCATGCAGAATACTAACTCAGCCATCATTCTGATCCATCATCCATGCCTCAGACGAGTAGCAAATTTTGTAACCCACATTCATCTCCACTTAATTTAAAAAGTACTGCAAACTTTTTAAACACAATTTCAAAACTGTTTTGACAGCACTGGTGTGCGCCCTTTATAACTAGAGTCAGACTTGGCATGTCTGGTTTCCACTAATCACCTCAGGAGAAGTAGACATGTTGGTACTCATTGAAGATGGTGTGAATCTTTCTAAACTGGCATATCTGTCCTCACTTTAACCTAAGGTGAGATGCTCTCCTTCATAAAATATTCCCTGAAAGCTACTAAGTCAGCAGGAATGATTCTTAGCTAAACTTCTAAAAGGTGCTGCATGTTCAAGCGTAGCTTGATTATTTGGGAGGGAGCAGGGGAGCAATTCAAACTTGTTACTCACTACTGCTAGTCAGTATGGACATATTCCAGCCAGAACTGCATCATGTAATTCACCTGATTGTATAGCTTTGCCTGAAGTTCTAAACATTTCTAAGAAAACTAGGTTCTATTGACTTTGTAAAGTGGTTACTTTTCTAAGTTCACCCTGAAGCCTGCAATTATTTTCAGGTATTGAAAGATAGGAAGGCAAAAGGGAAATGTAACTTTCAATATTACTTTCTGAGCAGTTTCAGCTAAACTTCCTGAGAGTTGATTAAAGAAACTCTTGCCGTTTCGGTGGTTTGCCTGAATGCTGAGGGCTTAAGGCTGGGTAGAAGATGGAGCTGCATGTTGCCCTGCTTTCCTCAGCTCTCATATTCTGCCCATCCTACCATTTACCCTCTAAACCTTCATGGAATCAGCTGTGAAATTGAAAGGGGAGCTATTGAAATTTGAGTGTAATCTTGGATCCTGATTTATTCAATGAACAACCCCCTACAAGAAATCACAGAGATAACAGTATATATAGACAGTAGACGTTTAGCTAAATTTAAGCAAGAATGGTTCCCATACATACAACATATCACGCAACATGGTTAAGTATAATCACTTACAATCTGGCTTTTAAGGGGGCCTGAAAATTAGCAAATGTATAAAAAGCGGAGAGACAGAAATCAATAATTCCCTTCCTTTTTAAAAAGAATTATTATTACTTTGTTTTCTTACTTTTATGTATTTTAACTTTTATGTATTTTAACCTTTGTTAATTTTTTTATTTCCTTTTATCAACATATAAACATACACACACACATTAAGTAACGCTACAATGGAGATCTTAATATTAAGTAATTAGTTCAAGACTGAAACTATTATCATATAACTAATATTTTGATGTGAATTGCAGTAGTTCTTTCTTTTTTATTTTATATTCAACTTTGGATGAAAAGTGAAATAATCTTATGCTTGTAACACTGACATCCTAAATGGCAATTGAGACTGATATAATTTTCACTTTTCTCTTTTTATTTTCAATACTTTAATCTTTTCAAATAATAGAAGGTTAATGATTTTAATCATATAAACATTACTGCATTGAAATCTACGTTGAAATAATACAATGCATCATGATTTACATTATAATAAAAGAAATCACAGAGATGAATTAGCACTGTTATCATGTGTAAGCTCATCCTTTATCCAATTTCAAGCCATTGTACATTCAGAGAAATGCCCGCACAAGGCTTTTGTCACATACAGAATGTGGAAAATCATACACACAAGAATCTCAATTCTTTTTCACACATCTAACTTCATCCAGCTAAGGCTAAAAAAGGATTAAAAACCTAACGCCTTCCATACATTTTAGACTAGAACCTCACAAGTTTCTAAACCCCAAACTTCAGGAAACTGCCAGCTTGCTTACTCATGCGTTAAAAACATAAAATTGCAGGGATACATGAACCAATTATTTTACCACAAATGCATTTGAAAAACAAAAAATACATTTTTAAAATAGCATCTCACCTTGCCCCAACAATAAGTTCTTTTTGTCTTGGATCAAATGTTATTTGAGAGAAGTCAACAGCACTTTCCGATCTGAACACATGTAACCAAGGAGCAAGTTCTACAAGAATAGAAAGAAAATAGTAATAATATTCATACTACAAATTCTTAGCATTTATTTTTATTTGGTGCTATCAAATCACTTTACCTATATGAATTGTTCCAACAGTTTTGTAAAATTAGAAGTGATTAATAACTTCTATTTTTTCTGGTTTTCTATAGGCCCAGACTTTGTCTTCCTTCCTATTTCTTTTCTGTGAGGCTCTTAATAAATGTAAATATTGTCAGCATCAGAATTAAGACCTAAAGAAATTTACAAGATGCCCAAACCCATCTTGTGAACCTTTCTTTTCCCATCCTCTGTTGTATGAAACAATATCACTCCTTAAAAATCATGTTAAGTTTAATGAGTACAGGTAGTCCTTGACTTACAACCACAATTGGGACCAGAACTTCTGTCACTAAGTGAGTCGCACCTGATCTTACAACTTTTTTTGCTATGGTCATTAAGCAAATTATGAGGTCTTGAAGTGAATTTAGCTTCCCTCATTGACTTTGCTTGTCGGAAGCCTCCCGGGAAGGTCACAAATGGCGATCACATGATCCCGGGACGCTGCAGCCATCATAAATACGTGCCGGTTGCCAAGCACCCGAATTTTGATTGTGTGACTGCAGGGATGCTGCAATGGTCATTCAGCACCATCATAACTTCAAATGGTTATTAAATGAATAGTCGTAAGTTGAGGACTACCTGTAGATAACTAAGGCAACAGCACTTTCTTTTAGACTTGCATTAACGAAAAAAAAGCTAGTTTAACAAACAGCAGAGAGGTATTGCACTGGTGTGGGATCTTAAATACTTCTTCTGAATCATTTTAGGAACATACACATTAGGAACATACACATTTCCCCTTCTGTGTTCCACAGCTCAAAGGTGATGCTAGAGACAGCCACCTCCTGTCTGCTCAATAAAGTGGCCTCCAAAACTAGGTGCATTTTCAAAAGGGCCTCTCTTGAAAACAGGGAAGTTCTAAGCCAGGGATCCCAAATTTTTTGTGCTGGTAGACACATCTGGAATAGTGAGAATTTGTCAAACTCATATTTATACCACTTCCTATGGAAATACATTTCAGAACAATTTTAAAAACATAAAATGCAGTACTAAAAGGTAATAATTTGAAACAATATAAAGTTTGCTCATTAAAAGGAAGGGGGACAAAAACAAAAGACCCATCTGGCATTCATAAAGGGAAGGCAGTGGTGAAATGATAGGTTTCCAACAGATACCTCAAATATAGAATGGTAGAAGCTCCATGAATTTCAGTAGGGAAGACATTCCACAGAGAGTGTTTGCCCACAACACCAAATGGTTCTCTGCAGCTGTCTGCTCACACAGATCTTAGTAACTAACCAGGTCTGTGATGGAGAAGGCAGCCTGTCAGGAATGACTTCTTTAAGGCCTTCATGCAAAACCTCAACTTTGACTCAGTAGCTTACTTGCAGCCAGCACAGTTTCTTCAACAGAGGTACAACAGACTCAGCACCTGTCCATCACATTTTGGACCAGCTGTAGTCTCTGGACTAAGCATACTAAAGCCTCCAGATAGCCCCATAAAAGCACATTATAATAATCAATAGAGTTTGAGCTTTGATAAAGTCAATGCTAAGAATTTGTAGAATTATTCTCCATCTTTCTATTTTTGTACAACTTGCTCCCTGGTTATTTATATTCAGATCTATAATAATCTAAAAGTGAGACTAACAATGCAGCTAGGCTGAGCTTATCCTGGCTATTTGGGCCTCCAGTGACCCTAATAATTCTAGGATAACCCCTATATTGTGTACTTTTTTTCTTTTTTTTTTTTTTAAGAGAATGCAACAGGCAAACTCTTCAACTGAGAACCACACACCCAACAAGGTCTGTTTTGACAAGAATCAAACTCAGTTTATTATCCTCATGTACCTCATTGGTGCATCAGATACAGGTTCAGAACAAGCACAGCTTCTCCTAAGAATTGTCAAGGTTTGGTGGTCTCCGGCCCAAAACTCCGGATAATTACCTTAGAGGCTTAATTTAGCCCAGGGGTTGGCAACTTTTAAGCTGTGGGGAACTCAGACTCCTGACAAGAAGCCATCTGGTTATTTAACATGTTTATTTTAAACATATTTATTCTAAAGTGCTAAAATAAGTACGTAGAATTACAAAACATAATTTTGTTGTAGAGTCAAACAGCATAATGTACTGGAAGTTGGCTTTAGATACAGATGTTTTTATATGAATAAAACAGCATAAACTGTTTGTAAAGTTTTACTGTAGAGTGCCCGTGATGAAAGAATGGTCCAAAACACGTTGCATTTCTATATAATAAATACTTTGCTATTGGCGCTTAAGAAACTCTCTCCCCTTATTTTGGTTTCCACCCTGGAGAGGAGGTAAAGTGGGTGTTTTGCACTAAGTGAAGCTTCCAAACAGTCTTTAAAGACATATGGTACGCAAGTAACACTGCAGGGTGTGAATGCAATTCTTCCAATCTGGTGTTTACCTGTTAATTTCCTTGCAATTTCCATTTCTATTCCATTTCCTTGCCTTATCAGTTGTTTTTCAAATCAAGTTTGATATTGAAAGTAGTGGTCTGCTACACTAAGAAACAGAAGTGAAGTGCAAGATTTAACACTTAACACTTTGAAATATGCCAATTCCCTTCCAGCATAACAGAATGTTCTGTTGTTCAGTTACCCACAAGCATCAATGTGAAGAGACAGATTTATCACCTTCACTAGTCTACATGCTCAATCAAAAATTCAGTTTCATATGGGCAGTGAAACAAAATGCTTTCCCTTTCCATATGTCAACAGGATAATTCCAGGACTCTTTGAAAAATGTTGCAGAATTGGTTCTGCCTTCAGGTCCAGGAGGATTCATTCTATTCATCTACATTTATTCCACAGAGTGCCATTGATTTCTCAGCCATTGCTGAGAATTCTGAGAGTTCAAGCCCACACAATTTGAGGCACTCAGGTTGGAAATTGTCCTAGATAATCTCCAGATCAACTCTGTGTTCTCAAGATGTCCCACTATATCAATATAGTGATATCTGAAATTTAAATATTAACACAAGCATGATGTGTGTTTTCAGGTGTGTGTGTGTGTGGGGGGGGTCTGTTGTCTTTTTGATAGCTGCCCTCCTGCGGTGCTATATTTAATGCTATCCTGAAGATTACCCTAATTTATGAACAGCTTTCGGAGAAGTGTTTTGGGGACAACTGCTGTAAGCGGAGGAATGAGTTTAAGAAAAACTGCTATTAGCAGGGGGCACCAAAAAGCTCCTCGTGCATGCATTTCATATAGTGTTCGACTCCCAGTGACTTCATGGAAATAAACATGTCGTTTTCTTGGCAGTAATACAGAAGTGGATTGCCACTGTCTTCTTCTAGATTGTCATCTCCAACTTCCCAGCCCTGGTTTCCCTTGGAGGTCTCCCATCCTGATCCTTTTCAGCTTCTAAGCCCAGACAAACACCCAGCTGCTGCTGCTGTTTTGGAGTTGATCAAAATCCTTGTACTTGGGAAGATTTCATCCTCATGCTTGCTGTCTGGATTGCAGAAACCATGACTTCGTAGTGGCTGATTTTTCATTAAATGTTGATTATTAAAAGGAAATTATTCCTTTCCTATTCCTCTTTTAGCTCTGCAGCCTCTATTCAGTTCACAATTTCAGCAGCTCTGATTTCCAAATCAAATAAATGAATCAATAACCAAGAGAATGTAAGCTGCTACACTGTAACTGTCAGCAGCTTTTCATAGTTTGGTTTCTTGAAGTGTAAACCAATTATTCAAAAAGTATTCAAAATAAACGAAGTGGGACTTTATTTCTCCATTGGTGCTGCTGGTTTTATATCTCCCCACTGAGGAATCACTATTTTCTTGAAGCATCTTAATGCCATTTATGGCCTTCATTCATCCATATCCCTTTCTCCTTTCTTTGGCACCATTACTAAACCTTTAGTTACTAAAATTGAAGTTATATTTCACTGCTGGTCATCTGAAATAAACTAGCAGTTATTATACTCATTACAGAGAAAAGGGATTATTAGCGGCCCGCCCCAAAAACAACAAAATCTTTAAGGCAGGAGATTAAGCAGCATATGTCCAAACAGAGGGTCTCAGAAAGCAAAATGTATCTGGAAAACCAGCCTTCAAAATGGTCTGTAGCTCTCTGGGTCAGCAGTTATAAATCACACTTATTTACTTACTTAATTATGTACTTACTTACTTAGAAGGCCACCCAATTCCAAAATTACTCTGGTTGGCTTATATAATTAAAAGGGAAGAGAAAAACATAAACACCTGGATTTTTTTTTAAAAATCACCCAATCCCTAAAATACCACACAAAAACTGTCAAAGGTTCACAAACAGACCTGGGAGCAAAGCCATGTTTTAAAGACCTGTGAATCCCTTGTGGCGTAGGAGCTGGCTCCAAAAATTCATTTAATACTGAGTTCTCAAATACTGTAGAGGAGATATCAAACTGATAAGATACTACACTTGATCTTAGCCAAAGATCCCACACCGTGTTTTTTACCTCAGACCTCTTCCCTTGAGCCCCTATTTCAGTCTTCCTTCTGCTTTTTCATTCCTGCATGTTTATTCAAACTGTGTGTTTCTGAAAAGCAGCTGGGCTGGTCTTCTCACTTCTTTCTGTCTTTGCTTAATTCTTAGCATGAAGTGGATTGATTGCAAGGCACACAAATAAATTAGAGCTGAGCAAGAGGCTTCGGTAACAACTGCTTATTTCACAATATAACTGACATTTTCTTAAAGCAATGCTATTCCCATATGAAAGGAGTGGGATATTTGCAGCCCTCCTTCAACACCAAATTCAGCCATAGCACCAATATCCATAGTCCCGCAGGGTTCCAGAGGAATAAATCTGGACCAGAGCCTCACCAACACTTTTGAACTGGTGCACAGCAGGTTAGAGCTACCCACGCTGGATGAGTAACACTAGCAGCCAAAAAAGCAACACAACTTTTAAGACTGGACATTAAGCAACTTACATC